TACATTAAGCTAGTATTGCTGCATTATGCTATTTAGTTAGCCATTTAACAGTTGTGTAAACTAAATGTTTATAATGAGTTTTCAGTCACAGAAGTTGACAATTTGACTTCTACTCATGCCTCCTCTCTTGTCCTCACAGTTTATCATGGTTCACAGGTGATTTGTAGCAGGAGTAATGATCATGGAATTGTAGTAGCAGGAAAGTAATTTTAAGGCTGATAAGCACTTATACTGTGGTAATAGGATAAAAAGAAATTCTTTGGGGGAGAAAGCATGATTTTAGTGTTTTCAATTTTGCCACAGTCGTCTTGTGTGTTTTAGACAGGACACTTAGCCTTTTGGTGTCTATGTTTTTTAGTCTGTGAAATGGGAACAAGTGTTACTTCGTAGATTTAGAACTTAATTCCTTATTGGCTCTGCCTGAGAGTCATCTGTTTTATTTATTAAGGCTTTGACTTGCAATCTGCATGTGGGGCACACTCAGCCTACAGCTTTGATTTAGCAAGCTGTGCTGGAATCAAATCTTGTGTTGTTTCTATGAGTAATACCATTTACCCACAGAGAAGTTCTTAGTGCGCATATCACAGAGAATGTGGACCTTTCCAACCTGTGTAACCTCCTTTAATAAAGATACAGTTACTGCAGTTGACCTCTTGTGAAAAGTGGATGCATTTGTGTTTTTATTCTGTGGCCTGAATAGAAGATATAACAGAATGGGCACTGTTCACTGAACGTGGGAATTCTCCCTTGCTCTGACTCATGTAGAGCGGCAGGGAGGGGGAGGAAAATGGGCTCCACAAACCCAGTATCCAGTTTTGTCACTTAAAAAACCTTTTTGATCTGAAATTTGTACATTTAATATTCCAGAGACTATTTGGAAGTTTGATAAAAGTCCATAGTAGTGCTAGAGAAAGATAAGGCTCACTATTGTACTAAAACAATGTTGTGGTGCCAAGACAGTATATTTATGCTTTTTTGTTGCAAAGCTAACAATGCCCATCAAACTTTGTATAATTTGGTATAAACGAAAGCAAAACATACCCAATCATATGCAACTACATTGCGAACCAGTCCATTAGCATGATGCATTGCTTCACAGCAGCCGGGCGTAATACAGTGTGGTGAAATTACCGATGTGGTGGAGGCCAGGATTTTTTTGTGTAGAATAGAAGGTATACTGATTTTTTTTTCCCATTATGATTAACCATTGTTTTGCCAATATGTTTTCTAATGTGTCTTGCAGAGTTTCATGATAGTTTTTCAAAGCTGGATGAAAATCTATGTTCCACCATTGTGGTCAGTCAATTTTTAGCACCCATAAAAGAAGCATTGCCAGGTTTTTCTTCAAGCCTATGAAGTCAGAGTCACAAGGAGTAGGGCAAAGCCTCAATAAGCTTCGGGAGCTAATGGGGAATTGCAAACTCTTTGCTTATTGCACCTGGCACTTTCTCAAAATCTGCTTCATAGGGGCCAAACCACTCATTTCCTCAAGCAGATAAGGAGGGTGCTTTCTCTCCCCGAGTCAAAGCTCTGTGACTTTGTAAATAAGGCAGTATAAATGTATATTTTAAAAGTGTACTTTCTAGAGGGATTGCAGCTAGCACATTGCAAACTTTTATCCCAGAGGACTAGTTAAATTGGTTAAGCTAAAAACAAGTATAGACTTTAAAACCACCTGCTATCACAACAGCTAAGACATGAATTGTGCCTGAATTGTCTGAAATGGGATTTTTAAGCACACTAAACAAGTATTAAATTGGAAAAAAAAAAGGCTTTTTTTCCCCCCCTTTTCAAGAGCATTCTGGTGGTTTTGAGACCCATGGCGCAAACTTTGGGGAACCTACCTCTGTCAGAGCTCTGTGAGAGAGGAAATATAAGGAAATATCCCCCACCACCACCTCCCCGTTGTTTCAAGGCAATGAGTCAGGACCCTTTTACACAAGTTTCTCAATATGTAATTTTTTTATTTCTACTGCTGGTGTGATCATTACGTGGATCTTGTTTGATATACATAGTCACAAGTGTTGGTCTGTCGGATAAGGCCCAGGAGCTAACCAGACCTTCATTTTCTTGTCCGTCATTTTCTAATTCTTCATTCTTAGGAGTTAATCCAGCAGATGTAAATTTGGGAATAGTTCTGTATAATCTCCTGCTTTAAGGCAGTCTTCCCCAGATCTGGACAATGCAGAGACAGTGTGTTAATCTTCCATCAAGCGGATGGAAGCAATTCTCTAGAGTAGAATCCATTGATTGTTTGTTGAAATTTAAACACACTATTTTTCAGGAAATTCCAGTGTTTTGAATTCCACCATGCGTTGAAATAAGACTTTTAATACAGTCAGGCTGTGCAATTGTTTTCATATTTATTGTATTTTATATTGTAATTTAATACAAAAGTCAAAACACTTCAACTTTCAGGTATTAGACTGTAACTAAAAACAAAGCAGTGGAGTTGAAACAAAGGGTTCTAACTTTACCAAAACTAAATATGTGGATTTAATGAAAATGAAATGTTTTAATTGTATTCCCTTCAAAAAAAAAGGTATTCCCTTAAGAAAATGGTGGTTCCACAAAAACATTGAAATTCTAATTATTGTTTCTCTGATGTCTGGGAAAATGTTTATTTTCTTGGCAAATCTGAATAGCTTTCTCTGTGCAACATCACTCTAAACAC